TAGACACAGAAATTACTCCTTTCATGAAAATTAACTTGAAAATGGATCTATTACATAAATGTAAAGTGCAAAATTATAAAACTCCTAGAAGATAACATAGGAGAAAACCTAGATGACCTTGGGTATGGCAATGACTTTTTAGATGTAACACCAAAGACATAATCCATGAAAGAAAGAATTGACAAGCTTGGCTTCATTAAAATTAAAAACCTTCTGCTCCACAAAAGACAAAGTTACGAGAATGAGAATATGAGCTATAGACTAGGAACAAATTTTTGAAAAAGGCACCTATAAAAGAACTGTTATTCAAAATATACAAAGAACTCTTAAAACTCAAGAAAAAAAAAAAACTCAACAAGAACTCATTTTTTTTAAAAAGCCAATACCTTAACAGACACCTCACCAAAAAGATATATAGATGACAAATAAGCATATGCAAAGATGCTCCACATTATATATCACCAGTGAAATACAAATTAAAACAACAATAAGATACAGCCACACATGCCAAAATCCAGAACAATAACACCAAATGCTGGTGAAGATGTGGAGCAATAGGAACTCTCATTCATTGCTGGTGGGCATGCAAATAGTATAACCACTGGAAAAGAGTTTGACAATTTCTTATAAAACTAAACAAAATCTTACCATACAATCCAGCAATTGTGCTCCTTGGTATTTATCCAAAGATGCAGAAAACTGTCCACAAAAAAACCTGCACATCAATGTTTATAGCAGGTTTATTCATAAATGCTAAAATATGGAAGTAATCAACACATCTTTCAGTAGGTATATGAATAAAGAAACTGGTACATCCAGACAATGTAGTATTATTCAGCTCTAAAACGAAATTATCTTATCAAGCTATGAAAATACACAGAGGAATCTTAAATCCATGTTACTAAATGAAAGAAGCCAATATGAAAAGGGTATATATTATATGATTCTAACTATATGACATTCTGGAATAGGCAAAACTATGGAGACAATAAAAAGATGAGTGGTTGACAGAGTTAGAGAGGGGGATAGGGGTGACTAGGCAGAGGACTGAGGATTTTAGGGGGCAGTAAAATTAAACAATGTGATTCCATAATGATGGATATATGTCATTGTACATTTGTCCAAACTCACAGAATGTTCAATACCAAGAGTTTACTGTAAACTATAGATTTTGGGTGATTATGGTATGTCAGGGTAAGTTCATCAATTTAAAAAAAAATGTACCACTCTGATAGGGAATGTTTATAATGGGGGAGGCTATGCATGGGTAGGGGCTGAGAGTATAATGGAAATCTCTGTACCTCCTGCTTAATTTTTCTGTGTAACTGAAACTACTCTAAAATAAAATAGCCTTATTTTAAAAAATAAACTAAAAGGTATCAAGAAAATCATAAAAGACATACAAGACCACATAAACTAGAATTAGACTAATTTAGAAATGCAATGATAGGGCTCAGAATAGACATTTAAAACTCATTTTATAAATAAATACTAACCTAGGAGAAGGATAATTATAATGAACATAACAGAAAATACCCTAAGAGAAATGGAAGATGAAAATAAGAAAGATTTTAAAAATTAAAAAGAAATAAAATCATTAGATAAGGAACTAATATACTATGATTATACTAAGTACCCATTCAACAATTATTTTTTAAAAAAACAATTATTTTAACTATATATCTCCAATCTAAAGACAAAAAAATCCTTTAACACGTTTTAACTTTATTAAATGTTTCTTGTTGATAGTAGTTTATGTATAGTAATCCTGCAACTATTTTGTGTTTATTAGGATTCAGCTAATGAGTAACATTACTGATAATGTTAGCAACCAGAATTCACATGGTGGAAGAAGGGAAGTGTAATATGGAAAGAAGAAGTCAGTGAAGAACCTTCTGTGTTGGATTAGCATTAGAAATATGAATTTATGATTTAAAAAATCCATTTTCTATTCTGTCTGCTGAAATAGCCTAAGAACCATGACACTCCAGTAGCAATGAACACATTTAGTGCCCAGACCTTGGTTCCTAAATACCATTCCCTACTAAAAATACTAGGGCTCTTTGGAAAATAGCTGTTTCCAGGTCTTCAGAAATAGAATTAAAAAGAGCACAGAATTTGGGCTATGTTAAACAAAAGAACACTTGTAGATTTAACATACACCGTTTCATCTCTTTATAACTGACCACAAATATCCAACACACCATAGCTGTCTGCCATTGGATACATATCCCAACCTCTCAATCAAGTTTAAATTCTTAATTCTTCATCCATAGGATAGAAAATACAGGACAAATTCAAAAGCTCTTCTGTATTAAATGATATAAAGTGGATTAAAATACCTAACATGGTATTTGCATACCAATTTGCATATACCACACATTCAATAAATGTTTGTTTCCATTCTTTTACCTTTTTTTACATCCCATTGACCCAACTAATAATCCTCCTTGTGACCTCAGTGTAGTTACCCTTACTTAGGTTTAGGAGGCTGCCAATCTGATCCCAATATTTCATTCTAAGAATAAAAGTATGCCTCCCTTGTACCATATCATTTATATTAGAATAATACCACTTCAAAAGATACAGCATCATGTATACATATATCCCCATATACATATAACTGATTCATTTTGTTATATAGCAGAAGCTAACACATTTTAAAGCAATTATACTCCAATAAAGATGTTAAAAAAAGATAACAGCATTAATCATAATAATTTTCTAAATTTAGACAGTACTTCAAGGCTGTATATAAAATTACAACCAGTTTAAGTGAACAAATTTCAAGCAGAGTACAAAATATTTGCACCTAGGGAGACATTTCTCATTGCTAGAAATAGACATATGAGAGGACTACTAACTTGGAGCTTTAGGTTGGAGGAATCCACAGGCACCTCTCAGGGCAGTTTTGCATGTTTCTTAGTTGTTTCTGTTTTTGCTTTTCCACAAATGAATCCAGAAATATTTTTCTGATTCTAGCTTGCACAGTCTCTCTATTTATTAATATATTCATCAATTCAGCAAATATTTTTTGAGCATTTAACATGTGTCAAGCACTCTGTTATATACTATAGATACAGAGTATGTAGTACATTTGGAGATATAGATAATTATGCAGACAACTTCAATTCAGTATTGTAAGTGTTGATAATGAAAGTATGTGCTAAACATTGCAGGGGCAAATATCACAATAGTTTTCCCTAAACAAATTGAGAGCAACTCGAGGATTTTTAGGTTGGTGAATAAGATTAGGTTTATAATTTTGAAAGATTGCTCTGTGCATGCTGTGGTAAATGTAATTGGAAAGGAGCAAGAAATCCAAGGAAAGAGTAAGTTTCCCATAAAATCATATAATGCAGACAGCATAAGGTAGAAGAACAGCAATAATAATATTTTTAAAATAGCAGCTAATAAGAATGTAATATCCACATTTGCCAGATGCTATGTGCTTTATATTCATGATCTCAATTCTCATAAGCAAGCAGCGAACTAAGTACTGCTATTAGTCCCTGCTCTCTACCATTTAACATATGAGGAAATTCAGGCCCAGAGTAGTTAAGTAATGTGCCTAATGGAACAGCATTTTAAAGAGAAAAAGAATTCAAGTCAGTCTGTATCGAACCACTGTGACATATTATTACTACTGACATTTCTCCCCACAAAGCTCATTCAAATTCTTTTCATGCATGCTGAATTTTCAGATATTGTTTCCATGTACAAAGTTTTTATCTCGTGTTATAGGAATATCAAAGGAAATTTGATTCTAAGAGAGAAAAACTCAGTCCCAGGGGCATAAACTAAAGACAAATCCCTTTAATTAGATGTTTATTTCACAGAAAATGCATACTTAATTTAAATGGAACATATGAGATAGAAATAATATTTTAAATAAATACGTACCTGTTAGCAATTGCCTGATTCTTTTCACATCTTTTATTCCAAATCACTTTACTTTTCCCCCACTGATGAACCCACTCTCTCTCACACTTTGACCTTGGTTTGAAAAGTATATAGAACCTCATCCTCAGAAGTTGCAGGCACTATATTATGTTCAGTTTTTTCTCTCATACTATCTCTCTTAATCAGGGCTATTGCCATCTATGATTTAGCACATGCAGGCTAACACATAAGAACATCCCCTCTGTCTTACCACAGAATGTTGAATATCATTTCAGTGAAATGTCCTAATCTTTCTTTCTCAGGGAATGTCTATTTGCCAGCTCCAGGTCTATTTAATCCTACCTATATTTCAGGGCCATGATCTATTTCTATCTTATGAATTCTCCCATTTAGCATCTGAGAATAAACTATAAGAGAATGTTCATTTCTTTTTTCATATGTTTGATGTTTGTCATGACTAAAATAAATTGATGACAGAGTATCCTATCTTATCTCCCCAAATACAATGTTGAGAGGTTCTTATAGGAAAAGTTTTCCTCTGTTTGTAAAATGTCAGCTACTCGAAAGGGATGTAAGGAACAAAGAGAGAGGAAAAAGCATTAATCAAAGGGTAATGTAGACTGATGTGGTACCAGATGTTTTGGCAAAACTATCTTCATATTCAAACAAAATGCAAAATCCTCATATATATATATATACATACATATATATATATATATGGTTTATATTTCTCTCATGTTATATTGTACATGGCTTATATTTCTATTATATCCCATTACATGAGAGAAATGTAATATATATTTTTGAGTAATGTTTTTAAGTTTAATTTAAAATAACTGTCAGAATTACTCAGACAATGATTAATAAAAACTTTAATGATTAGTTATTTATATGGTCAATTTAAAAGAAAAAATAAGAGAATCAAATTTTGATTATGTTCAATGTTATATTACTATAGAATCTGTGGTGTGCTCCTAAAAATTAGTTTAAATAATCTATAAAGTACCATTTTGATAGGGAATACAAAAAAGCATATATTAGAGAAATGTCTTTTAATCATCTTTTAATATTCAAATACTGAAGAAAATAAAACATACCTCACTTTTTTCCTAACTAAGAAACCACGTATCCATCTTTGAACAATCAAAACTGGTGAGTTATGAGCCAGAATTTCATTAATTTTTGAAATAATAAATTTGATATTATCAATTTCATCCTTATAGGTTGATCCCTGTATAAAGAAAATATATTTAATATTTATAGCTCATGAAAATATTTCCAAAAGATATTTTAACTTGGAAGTCTGATGGTATAAACTATTAAAACATTCACGGGTATCTTATTATACACATAACAGTTAAATAATAAATATATTTTCATATCTATTTTTATTAGATCAGAAGACCAAGAATTAGTAGCACCAAATAATTTTAATTCTCTACAAAAAAAATGCAAGATCAATGAGGACAACTTTCTCCATTCTAGATTCTTCTCACAATCTGCTATCATAGTTTTAAAATTTTGCCCATAATCACGTTGATCTCTGAAAGATAATGGCATGAATAGACATCCAATGAAACTCTAAAAGTATTCTGTGGATCATCACAGAGGAAACTGATACATGATGGATTTATAAAACAACTTACAGTAGTTCAAAACTTTGTGGCATCTTAACTAGAATGTTGCACACTTTTACTGGAAGACAGCACATTCCCCTGGGGAAAGATATTCTATATTATATTGCCTTTAAAGAAATTATCTCTAAGATTATTGTTCCTGCAAATTTTTTATTTGGGATCATAGACTCCTTATATCCTACTGATCATTTGACTGGCTAGAAAAAGCCACTTTAGTTATGTCTTGAATGTAAGAATTATGCATTAAAAACCTAACACATTTCTTTGTAAGGTACCTACTCTGAAAACTATCAACCCCATCATGTTTAAAAAAAAACTTTACTACATATACACTTAATCAGCTGCTAAAAAAAAAAAATCACAAAGCCTTGTAGATTAGTGCTACTTCAGATTTATACTTACAAACATTCATTGCTAATTAGCAAATCCTTTACTTGGCCCTGGCTTGCTTCTGTTTCCAACAGGAGCTACTGTAAACCTTCAGTACTATTCTCTATAAAGCCTTTTCCCTAGCACTAACTAAACATCTTGCTTCCTTCTCACAGAGAATATAGGACTATCAAGTCTGAACTTTATCAACTAACACTCCTCCCTTCCCTACAAATTTAACTATATTCCCACTTAACTCTTATATATCTATACTGAATAGAAGCAACTTCTACTTAATCTTAAATCAAGAAGTATCTCACTTCTTGTCCAAGATTGGCTCTCCATCATGGTTAAGTTTAATCTCCCTGTTTTCAATTACTTCCCTGCTACTGTCCCTATGCCTCACTTATAAATATGATGTAGTCTCACCCATCTGTAAAATGCACACACACAAATAATCATACACATCCCAACCCTCCATCCTTTGTATCTAACTTTTATTAAGAGTCCTTGAAACAGAATTCCATATTTGCTGTCCCACCTTCTCTCTTCCTGTATCTCAATCCACTGACTTCTACCCCTATCATCCTATCTAATACTTTTACAAAATTATCTTTGGACATTTCTCATTGAAGCACTTCCCTTGGCTTCTATACACCACACTCTTGGTTTTCCTATAACTAATGTTTACTTCTGGACTTTTTAAAGACCTATCCATACCCTACTTAATGTCACACTGAAAGGATTTTCTCCATTTGTCTTTTTTCAATCTGAACACACTGTCCAGATGACTGCAACCAAATCCACAGCTCCAACACTCACCTATGTCCTGATGTCTCTCAGATTTCTCACTTTAAGCAGGAACTCTCTCTGAAGCTACAGAACAATATGGTCATACTGATTATCCAATTACAGGCTTACCTTGGAGATACTGCAGATTGAGTTCCAGACCACCACAAAAAGGGAATATTGAAATACAGCAAGTCACATGAATGTTTTGGTTTCCCAGTACATATAAATATTATGTTTACACTATAATGTAGTCTATTAAGTGTGCAATAGCATTGTCAAAAAAAACAATGTACATGCCTTAATTTAAAAAATATTTTATTGCTAATAAAGCTAACCATCATCAGAGCCTTCAGCGAGTTGTAATCTTTCTATGGTAGAAACATCAAAAATCACTAATCACAGATCCTCATAACAAATATAATAATAATGAAAACATTTGAAATATTGTGAGAATTACCAAAATGTAACACGGAGACATGAAGTGAGTAAATGCTGTCAAAAAAAATGGCACTTATAAACTTGCTCCATGCAGGGTTGCCACAAACCTTCAATTTGTGATAACTGCATTATGTGTGAAGTACAGTAAAGTGAAGTGCAATAAAACAAGATATTCCTGTAAATTCAACTTGCCCAAACATGAATCTTCTTCCCTAACCTGCTTTCTCACATGCTCTTAGTGGATGGTGCTATTGCCCATATGAACCTAACCCAGAAACCCTAGAACCATCCCAGGCTATCTTTCTCTTTCACTTCTTCATATCCAAATATTGCTAGATCCAATATAGTCAACATCCTAAGCATCTGATCTCTACATTTTCTTCTGTTCTCTACCATTGCTTTATTGCATGTCTTTATCACTTCTCTAACTTACTAAAAATGTCCTGATATCTGAAACAATCCCTACTCCCTACTCCCTTCAAATCATAATATGGACTATTGCTAGAATGAACTTTTCAAAATGCAATATGATATGATGATATGGCATTTTTGCTGGTATATGATTGAAAGATTAATTACAAATTTCTTGACTTGGCACACAAAATCCTTGATCTAGTCCCTTCTTACCTTCTCAATCTCATCTTCCTTCACCCTATATATAATACCTTCCATTCTGGCAATATTCAACCACTTGCATTCCTGAAAACTACCTGATAATCAAACCTCAATGCTTTTTGCATGCCATTCCAGTTTCTTGACTGCCCTTCTCAATTACTTGTCTATCTTAGTCTTTTGGAGACTCAGTTCTTTCCTCCAAGAAGCCTTTCTTGACATTGATCTGAGTTTAATATCCTTCTACAATATTATCCTGTGTTAATAACTTATTTGTCATACTTGGCAATGTTGAATTTTATCTGAGCCCTGTGATCCTGGAAAACACTGAAGGTTAAGAAATCTCCTTAACCCTTTATTTCAGGAAATGGTTTTATACAAAGAAGAACACTTCCACCATATTACTTAGATTGTACCCATGAACGTCCCTCTTGTTCGTCTTTGACAAGGCCCTGACACAGACTTTCTAAATTCACATTCTTTGCCTATTAATGATTAGTTTAACTGCTTTGTCTATACTGAGCAGTCGGAATAAAACGCTTGTTAACCAAACTTTGGTTAAGATTCTCTCTCCTTCCCCTAGTCCCCTGGACTTTGCCCCACCCTCAGCCTGTTACCCTAAACACAAACATACACACACACACAAACACACATATGCACACACACACACACACACCATGAGACCAAATGTGATAAAAAAAAAACCCATAAAATTACAGGAAATCACAACTATACCAGAAACCAGTAAAGGATAACATTTAAATAAAAGATTATATCATAGGGGCTTCCCTGGTGGTGCAGTGGTTGAGAGTCCACCTGCCGATGCAGGGGACACGGATCCCACATGCCACGGAGCGGCTGGGCCCATGAGCCATGGCCGCTGAGCCTGCGCATCTGGAGCCTGTGCTCCACAGCGGGAGAGGCCACAACAGTGAGAGGTCCACGTACCAAAAAACATATAATAATTTACTTGCTCATAAGAGGCCTACACCCTCCCTCCCTTTCCTTATTTAGATGGTATATAAGCATGAATTCTCACCTCGGGGAGTTACTCATTTTTCCCTGGGTATCTTCTCAGTATACATGAGGTATAAATGTTAGTAAACTTTTGTTTGTTTTTCTCTTGTAATCTGTCTTATATTACAGGGGTCTCAGCCAAGAACTCAGAAGGGTAGAGAGAAAATTATTTTTGCTCCCCTACGGTAGTTTGGGAGCAGGGAGGTTGATTGCATAAGTAAGAAGGGAGGGAGAAGAATACAGGAGGGAACTTAGATGACTAGGTTTAAGTGGTCCTGGTCAGATGCTGCAGTTCTCACCAGCAGAGAACCATTAAGCTCACACCGCAGTTTACAGCAGAGTCCTGCTTCCCACCAACGTGTGAATAACTCATCTCTTTAAAGAGATAAACGAATAATCATCAGCTGTGGGTGGAGTTAGTGTCCCTGCCAGAAAACAAGTAACCTCAAGACAATACTCAAGTTTTATGATGTCCTAAAACAATTATCCAGTAAAATGCCAATAAAGATATCACTGCAAACTTGAACAAATGGCATAACCATTTGATATCTAAGGACAAATGGATGTATCTACTTTCTAAGGGAAAGTAATGCATTTCCTCCACTATGTGAGTGATGACTCTGGAGAAAAACTGCCTGGGTTTAAATTCCAGTTCTACCACTTGCTAGCTATGTGATCTAGGGTAAGTAACCCACCTGTCCCCTATTCATCATCTGTAAAACAGAGATAACCTCACTGGGTTTTTTGTGAGAAAATATTTGTAAAGCACTTAGAACAGTGCTAAAACATTCCAAGCATCCAAACAATGTTATCTGTCAACAGTTTAAGGACTTCTGTATACCTTATTTGATACTTAAAAAAATTAGTAGAGGAATATACTAAGCAATTTATCCAAACTAACATAATGTAAAATTTAAAAATTAATAAATTAACTATAAAAGATGATTAGTACTAATATTTTCAATCCAATAAAAGGAATTAAAGAATTGTAGAAAAAGCTTAACAAAGGACAACGCATGCTTAGGCAAAATACTATCAAGAATCAACAAAACAGATGATAGAATAATGAAATATCTATACTCTACCACTTGCTATTGTAACCCTGGGATGAAAATAGGGCTACTGTTAACCCTGGTATAAAGCATAATGAGGCATTTCAAAAGAAAAGTAAAGACTTTTGTAAAAATGACTCAGATGGAAGAGAGTATTTTGTGTTCCAACAGGAAGAGTACTTTAAAAAAAAAATCTAAAACTACGTTGCATTCAGACTGCATGTAATTACATAAAGAGATTTCCAATTAATTTGATATTCTCAGTACATTTGTACATATTTAATTTTTTCTTTATTTTTTCCATGTTTTTATTT